CTAAAACCCTAAACCCCTAAACCTGTCTCCTGGACCTGACGTGCTCGAGCCTGGAGTCGGTGGCAGGTGCGTTGGGATCCTCCTTGCCAGCAAGATCCTTTGCACAACTTGGCTCCGGTCCGAAGCTCAGGGAAAAAGGGGGAAAGAGCGGGGCGTTGGAGGTTGGGGCCTTAGAGTGTTGGTGCCTTGAGCCAGCAGTGATAAGCATAATCGCAAGGATCATACCTTGGAGGGTCATAGTCATAACAGCCATAATGGAATCAGAATCACGGTCATAAGAATTGAGTCATAATGACAATCATAAGAATTGTCATAGTCCTACGGTCATACGGCTAAAGAATCATGACATGTTTCTGGTCTAGGGCTTGGGGGATAAGTTGGCGGTGGATCTACAGCTGAGTTGAATGGTCGCACAACAGAAGCAGGCGTGAGGTCTCAGGCAGGAAGCATGGTGAAGGTAGACACCTTTGTTCCAGATGTAATACTTTTCAAGGCGCTCGTCATTGAAGCAACTTGCCGCTTGCCGAACATGATAGCTTCAGTAGACCATGGACTCGACTGACGCCCCCGACGCAGATCTGACTCTAGCTGTTGGTCTTGTGCGCAGGATATTCGAGATATCTCGAGATAGCATGGAGTTTGCTGTGAGCCTGCAGTTTGGGCGAAAAAACCTCGAGAACCTCTGAATAAGGAATACCTTCAGCCGTGGCTGTTTGGGCAGGTCTGGCAATCTACGGAGGCGCAACATTGAAGGTAGGAACTCCGAACATCAACAGCCTCGAGTTCGGCACCGGCGCGTGCGCTAACGAGCCTTCAGCTGGGAGTCGTTGCTTGCGGAAGCGAGTTTGGGAAGTTTCGGGCGATGCGGCAGGTACATCAGGTACATCACGGGGGGCAACGATTACATAGAGTGGCGGGTTGGCAACAACCTTGTCCCCGGCCTGCAAGCACACTCTGGTCTGGGTCCAGCGGGCGTGGTTTCAGTTCCCGGTTGCAGGTTCTCCTTGCCCTTGTCCTAGAGCGACGGGTAGATTTCAGCTGCAAAGATGTCGCATGCAAACAGAAGCAGAAGGGCCCTCGTGGATTGTACGGTGTTGGTGCTCGTGAAACCGAGGCTCTTTCCATGGAAATCGGCGGTGGCAGCCAAAACCAGCTCCACGGCACCTGGTACATCGTCAATCCCACGACCGTCAGTTCGCAGGGAGCTCGGAGAGCTTCGAAGCTCAGTGTCTTTCGTACGCATCCCGACACTTCAACCCTGCTTCCGTCTCCAGGGACCGGCGCCTGAAGACGGAGATCACGCCTCTCCGCAGGACACTGCAAGGCATGCAGGCACAGGTCGCTGGCTCAGCCTCTGAATGGGGGCTCCTGCTTGCCACTGGAAGCGTGTGTCTAAGGACGAGATCGCCACGGGGCAGAAAAAGAAAGGCATTGCAATCCACTCGCATCGTGGAAGATTGCTGAACCATACCTTAGTTGGGTGCAGGTGACGCAGCCTTGTGGATGCTTCGGCAGGGTGCTCAAGCACTTCACGTTTGAAGCGGGAGGTTTGGCGGAGCCTAATCCTATCTTCCAAGCTCTCAGGCAACTACGCCCGGTGTCCTACTCTTTCAAAGCCGGCTCCGAATCCAAGTACATGCGCTTCGGCTTTATAGGCCCGGGACGGTCGCTTGCACCCGATAGCAGAATCGGAAGTTGCGCATGTCCTGTTATAATCCTAGACCCTAAACCCCTAAACCCTAAGCCGATCTGTGCCAGCCGATGAGCTGGAGACGACGGTCCCGCAAGTGGTGCGCAGCGGAGGCACTAAACAAGGCCTGTATCCCTGGTTTTTGTATCCCGGCAAGGGGGTCTCGCATGTGGCGATTTTGAGACGCCAGGTGTGGAGAATTCCAAGAAGGTACAGATGTTCGTCGCGTGCTTAAGCTGGCGCGCTGGAACGAAGCGGCACCAGAAACCCGGGGAACGGACAGAAATTTGAGCCGAAGCTCCTGAGGACCTGATTGCCCTCCTCACCGCGGCCGGGCAGAGCCAGCAAGAGGTCATCGAGAACCAGGTGGGAGTGGCCCGGAAACCATAAACCCCTAAACCCTAAAACCTATAAACCCCTATAGGCTTAAACCCTAGAAGGTGGCTCCCCACTTATACGCTTGGCCTGTGCAGGAGCGGCTCATGGCCGGAGTCTCAGGTTCCTTCGCTTTGGGCCTGGCACTGGCTTGGGGATACGTGAATAATATAATATAGTATAATATAATATAATTTACTATAATATAATATACTATAATTTACTATAATATAATATACTACAATTACTGAAGCACTCCTTTCATCCTCTGCTTTTTCCGAGGACCAGGTCGAGTCCGAATTCGAAGCCTTCAAAGCAGAGCTGAAGCTCTTGAAAGAGCTCAAGGCCGTCAAAGCGGATCCATTCCATGGGGCTTTCTGGAGTCGTTAGAGCTCTGTGCAGGAGAAGAAGCGGCAAGCCAACCGGGCCTTGGCCTGTGGGGCAACTCGCAAGAAGCGCAGACGGCTTTGGTGGCGCTGAGTTGATGTAGAGCAGATCCTTCCGAGCATGTCCTAGGAGAAGGCTAGAAGGCTAAATGAGCACCCTGGGGCCGACTTGCCCCAAGCCAGGTGTCATCTCGGACATCAGGCGTCGCTCCAACTGTTCCCCTTTCCTTCTCAGCTTCCACGTCAGTCCTCATCCTGAACAGAACTGCAAGGCATTTTGTACATGGTAGTGCATGGTATATATGTGTGTGTGAGATCGAGATCATGCACAAAAGGTACATCCCAGTATGCCTGCATGAATGCATGGATAGACAAGTGGGTTCGGTGTGAGCTCAAGGTGTTCTGCTTCAGAGGACTTTCTGGGTGCAAACAGCTGCGCGAGAGCTTCACAGCCAGCTCCGCATCGAAGTGTTGTGGCGTGAGCGCAGCTTTGCATGAGGGCATCTTCAAGGGAGCCTGCAAACTCAGAATTCGTGCCGTCAGTGCACAAAAAGGCGGGTGCAGGGATCGGTTTTATGTTCGATACAGTATCCTGAAGTGCAGACATCTGGCCATGAGTCAAAGCAACTCGCAGCTTATCGGCCCAGGAGGCTCCCATGCTCTGGGGACTATGCAGCTAGCCCCAAAGCTGACGATGGGTGCGGCAGGAAAAGCTGAAAGCCGGCAGTAAACACTGGCGCGCCTTGCAACATACCAGTAAGCGTCGACGTTCAGCGCCGGAAGAAACACAGCATAATGAAGCTCGGTGACTGTAACAAGTCAGTTCAACGACACGCTGAGCACATCATGCGGCCGTAGAAGACTCATCTCTGTCTTTCTGCAGGCCTCGAAGGCTTGATGGCAGTTGCGGGTGCAGGTTCAGTGCTGTGGCCGTTTGATGACAACTCGCTGCTGCCGATACTGCGGCTTGATGCAGTTCCCTAAAACCCTAAACGTCCGAAGCTCTAAAGCCTGAAGTCCCGTGAAGCCCTGAACCTGGCACTGACATCCTAAACTCCGGCGACACACAGGGCCGAATGGAGAGCTGGGATGGATATGTGTGGCCAGCTGGGTCCTCGGAACGGGGCCGCTGCGTACTTGGCAATATTGCCTTACATTCGTACTATATTTTCTTCTGCTATACCATATTCGATTGTGCTATACTGCATTATGCGCATGCTAGAGGTGGGTGTGGGCCGGTGTAGCATCACTGGGCAAGATCATCTGAGAGTTTGCATTGTCGCTTGGGGAGGTGGAGGTCAAGCTGTGTAGAATTTCGGTAATATTGAAGCTTTTGGGGACAGGGTTTTGCAACGCTAGCCATCCGAGGGCAGAATGCACCGACCGCGCGTCTTGCCGCGCACGCATAAGACCAAGTATGTTGGCAAGTAGGAAACCCTCGTAAGTACCGTATAAATTGTCTTTGCAACGGCTAGCAGAAGCTGTTATATCAGGATGATGTTTTATTCAAAACTACATCCTAATGCATCACCTCTCGCGCGAGGTGCCGTTGCGAGAAGGGTTTTCTTAAGCTGCATGCCCCCTCAGCTGCACGTATCCCGCAACCAACTGTTGTGATTGCGCCAAAGTGCAGCCCTTATGTCAGCAACACAATGTTGTATATGCTGAGGCACATCTGTTATCATGGTTGGGACACGGATGCTCTGTCGGAAGGGATGGAGTCTGTGTGGACGTTATCCTGGTTGGGACATGGATGCTCTGTGGGAAGGGATCTGCATTATGAAGGCGCTTTGGTGCGGAGTTCGCGCAGAGTTTGCGGCCTAAGCGCCAGCATCACACGGCAAACACGGGGTTGTCTGCATGTCGTGTTTTGCGGCGCAACGTCCGGTCCGAGGGCAGAACTAGAAGCAATACTGGTGTTGGGAGCAGCACCCCCGGGCTCGAGAGTCTTCGAGGCGAAGGCAGCAAGTGCCCATTGATGAAAGGAGCAAAATCAGCTGAGATATTCCAGGCACAGCCGATGACCCAAACCGCGGATCCCAGAGCCTGAAAACCGTTCAGAGAGTTTAAAACCCCGAACCCCCCGGTAGCCCCCTCCCCGGAAGCCGACGACTCCGGCTGAAGACGGCCTCCTTTGAGTCAGGTCTCCTGGCCCTTTAGCTTGGCCCGCATCTTCGGCACACCCCTCAAGGACACGGCGCCCATTTTTTGGAGTTAATCGATGGTTATAATGATATGACTGATATGCAAGGTATGAATCAATGCACCCGTGTTCTTCAGGAGTTAACTACTAGGATCCCGAGTATGGAAGGAGATGAGGGAAGGGGTTCCCGAATGTTCGGCCGAGAGTGGAGTCCCACCATTCGGGGCCTGAGACACGGCACGTGGCCCTGAGTCCAACCCAAAAACCCTTCTATGCGCACAATCGAGCCTCAAATCTGCAGCCTCGGGTTTTTCAGTTTGGTGCGGGCTCCTCTATGGGCCTTCATTTTTTTAACATGTTCGAGGGTCTGAAACCCTCAGATGGGAGAAAAAGGGATGCGTAGACAGCCAGCTCGGTTGACCAAGCACCTTGTGAAGGAGGGCCGGATAGGTCAGCTTGGCCAAATGATGTTTGTCAATGCCTCAGTCAGCTTCTCCAAAGGGGCACGCGAACTGCTGCGTGAATTCTCGCGGTCATGAGTCGTCAGCTGCCATGTGCGAATTCCCATAGAGGTGGGGGTATCAGAATGTTGGGGGTGCATTGTTTCGGGGGCCGTAGATTCAATGAAGGATCCTAGTGTTCGAGTTCTATATTCGAGTTCCCCCCTTGTCTAACTCTCCATGTTCCCTACTTCCCAAGAGAGGTGACGGTCCTGGGCCTCGCCGTTGGCGCCGCGGACTCGGATTGTTCTCTTTTTGGCAAATCATGGCCCGCAACCCTAAACCAGCCACATCCTGAAAGACCCCATACCCCCCCCCACTCTAAACCCCAAAAACCTGAAACCCTAAATCCCTTATAGGTCCTCTAAACTCCCTGAGTAACATCCCCAAGGTCCTGCTCTGGGGAAGATCTGCAGACCATCCCTTGGAAGATCAAAGGCAGTGCTCCGGGAGCTTTCATGGGCGCGTGAAGCTTAGGGAGTTTACCCATAGGCTCCTTAGTAGCTCCTTTTTGGTGGTTATATACTTAGGATCCTATAAATAGTAATCCCAAGAAGGAACTACTAAGGAGCGTTTTGGTAGGAATCTAGCAAGCAACGGGCTTTGGGTTGGGGGCTTGGGGGTTTTCGGGTTTAGGGCTGAGGGGTGTACCGCCTGCAGTGTAGGGTTTGGGGCTTGGAAGTGAGACGTTTTGGGTTTTCAAGTTGTTGGGGTTTTGGGGCTTTCGGGTTTTCTTGCTTGGAGCTTCATTTAGCGAGGCCCTTCGAGTCTGTAGGTTGCTGTATCATTGGGCATCATAGAGGAAGCGCGAGTTTTTGATGGTTTTAGTTTTTCTACTGTGATACAAGCTAATCATATGTTTATATGCATTTGCTTCAATCTGTGTTTATAGCTTCTCACTATATGTAACTTCCTTTTGTTGTTCGGTGTCCGCTCTCCTTGTCCGGCAGGACTGGGTCTGCAACAAACCAGCAGCAGGCTCTACGCTCTTTTGCTGCTACGTTTCAGTTTCCATGACGCTTAGAGCCAGAGCTTTGGGGTACAGGGCCCTTCAATCCTTCGTGGGTTTAGGGTTTTAGGGTTCAGGGATTAGGGTTGGGATGTTGCAGAATTTGCTGCGAAGCTGTTTTTGCTGCATGCAGCCCCCGAAGGCTGCCAGCATAGGTCCGGGAGCCAAGTGTGTGCAGGGGGGAAGACCGTGGGGATTAGTATGTGGGGTTCAAAGAACCCTAAACCCTGAGCCGTTAAAAAAACAAACTAAGCCCTAAACCCTAAACCCTTAACTGCTGGAAAGAGGTGCTTAAAAACAACAAACCTAAACCCTTAAAAGCAAACCCTGTAAGGCCCTATAGGGTGGTTTTTGGGGTTGGTGCACAGCGAAGCTCTCGAGGCGGTACCCAAGATCCAGGTGAGCAGGCACCCGCCAGTTTTTCAGCGAGGGATCGGCCCTTTTTGGGGGAGTTTTGAGAGAGACTTGCTGACCAGGCTTTCGCAGATCCGCAAGAATGGCGAAACTCTGTGCAAGGCGCCATGCACACCGCCTAAACCTGGAAGCAGTCCGACATCCTGCCGTCCTCTGTGCTTCCCAGAGATTTGGCATGCAGACTGTGCTTCAAGATGCTTCTCGTGCACAGCTCTTAGTGATTAGCGCCAGAATGCGTCACAACGAAGTATGGCAGGCGAAGATGATTTGTTCTTTGGCATCTTGGATGCTTACACGAACGTGAGGCAAAGCTCCCCGTAGGTTGTGACTCTGAAGAGTCTGGCCTGACAAGAGTTCCTTACAGCACAGGAGCTCGCAGCATAGTTGGATGGCCACGTGTGCAAAAAATAGGCACAGGCTTGTACGCCACCACCGCTCCTTGCGGCAGCTCCAAAAGTTGTGCACGAATCGGTGCCGATAGTCTGTCAGCGGTACCTGTGGGTGTGGCATCCAACTACTCTTAGCCCCGGATGTTAGATGTAGTTTCGCATCTCAGCTGATTAGTCTTGGTAGCATGGCGCACGCATGGCCAAGAAAATTGCCGTGCAGCGAGACACCACTGGGCTGCAGGGCCAGCAAGGCTGCAACTCATGGTCTTGCGAGTCTAGCGGCTTTGGAGGAACCACGCCTCTTTGCGAGGTATTTGTGCGAAAAATGAAAAGATAATTCCAGTACCTACATTTGACAAGTGGCACCTTGTTCGTGCACGGCTATCAAACAGCACCGTGGCAAGCTGCCGGTTGAGATGCGCGACTGTCTCTTGCGGCGGTCTGTTTCTAATCAGGGACATCTTAGATCGGGGGGATAGAAACGTGTCCCACCCATCAGCCAGTTGCAATGAAGATGCCTGGTGGGCGACACAGACCTGCAGCTGCAGCAGGTTTTACGTCCACTCCGGCACACACGTGTGCCACAGCATTTGTGTCTGCAGCGGCAGTACGGAACACCCTCAGGCCGCACCATTTGCGCCCTATTTTTGGTCAATGGCTTACTCATTTCCTCAGGGTAGGCAATTGCAACTTCGGAAACGAGCGCCCTAAGGTGTACGTCGTCGGCGTTTCGGCCGAGACGACCCCGGCAGGGCAGCGGCACCTCGGCAGCTACTGCAAAGAAAGCCTCTACCAAAGAGTTCCGCCCTAGGAGGTACTTAGCTACTTGAAGCGATTCCTTAGCCTCTTAACACGTTGCAGGCTGCTGCAGCTCTTGCAGAATCATGTGGCGTCGGGCACCGAAGACCTGTCGAGTGGACTTTGTGTCGCAGCGCGCTGCCTCAGGACACCTGAGACGCCTCAGACGCTTGCAGAGGTTGCTGGAGCCCTGGGTTCCTTGGCCCTGGAGGCCCGTGGGAGATGTTTGCATTCCCGATTTCTCCATGCGACGAGTTGCAGGGCCAGCCAGCAGATGAGGGAACCATATCAGCCATCCGCACCTTGATCAACTCGCCGAATCCTCAACCACACTGGGCCAGTGAGTGTTCCAAGTCGAATTCTCGCAGCCGGCTTGCAGACGGTCGTGATCGGTGTGATGCGCAGCGCTTGCTGTGATGTTGCAACCTTCAGCTGTTTTGGGACTGGCACCGCAAGGCTTCTACAGACGATTACCACGCAACACCAAGCTGCTCAGACGGTGCCTGTGAAACTTCAGACATTTTTGCTCTAGACCCGCCGGGCCCGTCATCCACATGCTGAGCCAGGCGGTTGACAACCAGACCCTCTACCAGGCCTGCATCAGTGCCAAGGATGCTGCGTTCGGAAAGGCGCGGCTGACTGCTTCTTCAGAAGTGGCACCGAGGAGGCAGGAGTAGGATGGCCCATGTTTCAATTCAGGCGAATGCTCTGACTTCAACCACAACCAGCACAACAACAACCACAGGACCGACAGAAGCGCCAGCTGTCTGTGCACATCCAAAACCCGAAACCCAAAAACCCCATACCCTAAATCGAAAGCTTTGCGTTTCGGTTTCTGGCCCAGGAGCACCCACAACAACCACCATCCATGCCGACCTAGCTGCCTGCAAGTCACAAGTGCCTCGTCAAGCTTGTCACAGGCGATCCGTCTCTAAAGCGAATGACACACAACGAAGTCGATATGACGAAAGAAGCATGATCATGAGACTAAGCATAGGTAAGCATAGATCTTAACTTATATACACACAACACATATAGACAGATATGCATGTTGATTAATTTCTGTGCTTGAACTTCTACTCGCATTTTAGTTAGTGATATACTAAATTTATGTATTGAAAGCAGGGCAGTCCCGATGGTAGCAGTGAGATCTCGGGAGCTGAGGAGGCGGACCTGATAGTGCAGAACCGGACCTGCTATGGCGACTCTTGGTGTAAGGGAGGATTTCGGGGTTTGGGGTTTCTAAGGTTTTTCAGGTTTGTGGTATGTTTCAGGTTTTGGGGGGTTTTGGAGGTGGAAGGATCGGCTTCTGGGTTTTTGAGGTGTGGGGTTTCCGGTAGTTTTGAGTTTTGGGGGTTTCCCGTGTTTTTCATGGCCTTCCTACTGGAGGTTTGGAGTTTCGGTGTGGTTTTGAGGTTTGGGAATTCCGGTGTGTTCTTGAGGTTTGAGGTGTTTCCGGTGTTGTTTTGAGGTTTGGGGTTTCCAAGATTTTTGAGGTTTGGGATTTCCGCTGTTTTTGAGGTTCGGGGTTTCTAGGCTTTCAAGGTTTGGGGTATGGGGATTTCCAAGGTTTGGGGTTTAGTGTTTTTACGGTTCGGGGTTTAAAGTTTAGGGTTTTGGGGTAGGCCTTCAGGGTTTCGGGGTTTAGGTGCTTTGTTTGCCATCGCCCCAGCCGTTCTGAGAGTACGGACAGTGTCTTAGTGTCGCAGATCCTTCCTGCATTTACACTTGGCGATTGTGGCTTACCAAGGAGTTAGATGCCAGCCGGTCGGCGAAGCTGGCGACCTGTGAACTCTACGACGATATGAACTACATCAACGCAGGATGGGAGTACCGGCTTCCCGATTTTCAAAGGCGAGTGCACAACCTCGTACAGCAGCGCAGCACTCATCACGACAGCTTTTCTCATGGCTACACGAGCTGGGAGATGATGAGTACCTATTGCACAACCTCTCGCGTTTCTCCTTGGAGTGTTGGATGTATCATGTATATCTCCTTCCTCCTTGCATTGGATGTCAGCATCTTCATGCCCCCCCTTCGTCCGTGGCATGCTTTCTGTAGTTATAGGTTGGAAAGGAACTCTCTCACGTAAGCGTCCCCAGGAGCTGCACGTGCAGCACGATGCGGAGATGCTGCAGCCTTCACAGGTCACATGCTTGGCACTGGTAAATCTCGGATTCGCTCATCACATCATCTCTGCTTTTGAGTTGTTCAAGAGACTCGGAGGCCAAGTGCCGAGTGGTGCTGTGCTGCACCCGACCCTGCTTGGCAAAGGCACCTACGAGGAGTACCTGGAGCGTGATATCCAGACCCTCGCTGTGCTGCAAGCACGGAGCAAGAATTGCAGCGTGCCTTGGTAGCTTGAAGCGAGTTGCACATCGTTCCTGTGTGTGTTCATCGGTCTGATGCCGACACGTCTTTCAAGTATATTCTGTCATGCACCTGCAGTAACCGAGTTGAAAATGTGGAAGTGTACTCCAAAGTAGATGTTGTGCTCAGGCGGCTACAACTGGTTACGATTCGAAGGTCACGGAATGCGCGAAAGCGTTTGACGAATTGACATCGAAGCTGCAGGAGCTGCTGACGACACTCATGAAATGTTCATGAGTACGAAGGGATTGCGGCTTCTATGCTTTAGAACTTTGGGCCTTTGGGCGGTGGGTTGTGGTGGGTTTAGTGTTTTTTTTCTTCGGGTCTGTCTTCATCTGCGTTGCAGGAGTGCTTGGAGTTGGAAGCGCACTTGGCCCAAATCCATGCCCTTCCAGATTCGTCAACCCCGGCTAGGGCCTCAAGCGACAGAAGGTGAAGATGGCTTGGAAGCTTGTGGGATCATGTGAGGCTGCTGGCCCCACCACGGCCGTGACGCAGGAGTTCTGCAGACCCCTTGGCATCCTTGCATGGAGCGAGTCATGGCACCTCTGATTTCCATGAATCTCTAAGCTCTCATTGTGTTTGCTTTGAGGCGCACCGTGGGCCGCGAAGGTGGCGGCCTGCAGCAACTACGACGCTTGCTACACCTCGAAGGCTGAAGCGCAATGCCGCAAGGGAAAGATGGCGCTTAGGGGCCTCACTTCACCCTGAAGCTCAGGCCGTCATGCAAGAAAGCTCCTTCAATGCCGCAAAGGAGCTGGCCAACAGCCGGCAGGCTCCGACGGGCACAGCTATCAGAGCTATCAAGGTCTGAGCTGCAAGTGTTCAGGACATGTGAAATAGTTTCAAACTGCGCGTCAGGCTGAATACCTTGCGCTGAAGCGCATCGACTGCCTCCTTAACGTGGCTTGGCTCCACCTGGTCCCACTGACGTCGTAATTCTACTCCCTGCTTGGTGCGTGCAGCACTCAGCTGTCGCGGCATGCTGTTGCCAGCCTCTCTGGCAGGTCTTAGAGAGTTCCGCCGCTGAGCAGCCGGACAAGTTGACGGTGTCGTGGCTGCCCTTATAGCTTCCCCGTATTGTACAGGACAGAGCCCTATAACCCCAAACCCTAAACCCCTAAACCCTAAACCGTAGAAACTTCACACCCGACAGCCAGGCCTGCGTTTCGGCAGCCCACGATGTCAGCAGCCTGGAGTTGAAGAAGCCGGTGGCGCCGGCCAAGGCTTCCTGCGCGCTGCCCTCAGCTATCGAACTGGCGGCTTTTGGGTTTCGGGTTGAGAGAGCACTCACGTTGTTTCGTGTGTCGTTGATGGTAAGCAATAAGCGATACTGTATTCCCTGCCAGCAAATCGGATGCTGCCGTTTCGAGCCTGTAGAGGCCATATCAAGGTCACTTATTCTCTGATATTCGCATGCGCTATCCCGACGCGGCACGATGTCGCGAGAAGGTTCCTCAACAACTTCCTTTCCATGTAAGGGGTTGTGCAGCCCTGGAAATACTCACTGAGAGACATATACGAAACAGGTGAAATTCTATGTGCTGAATCTTGCTCATATACGAGCGAGCACAGTCTGTGTGTGTGTGTGCGTGTACATCTGCCAGCAAGTTGAATCAGAAACTCCCTAAAGCCTAAACCCCTAAAGCCTAAACCCTAATTAAACNNAGCTTCCGAGTACTCAGGTGCCAGGCGTGCAACCTGCCGGCTGCGTTGCTTCGAGGTAGTCCCTTAGCTCTTTGCCCTTGAGCTGCGCCATAGGCACACCTGATAAAAGGCCTCACCACGTAGTGCAAGTGAGATCATAGCACGACTCTTTTGGGGTCAGTGGGCCAACTCCATCATACATGCTATTAAGTGACCCCCTTCATGCAGGCACTCGCATAACTTATCATTACTAGATGCCAGCCACAAGTGTACCTCGGACACGGATATCCATTATGTAAATAAATGATAGGAAATGCTCAACTTGGAAATGCTCAACTTATCGCAATTCGATTTCATTGGGGTTGAGAATAATTAAATTTCAAAAAGTATGCCGACTACAATATGTGCTATTATTTATATTCTTAAATGAAAATCTTATGATAGAAATTCAATATTATTTGATATTATACTTCTTACAAGATCAATGAAAAATCGTATTTTTCCATTGAATTTATTTTCGACAGTATATCGTTAAATAGATATTTTCGTTATTGATTCGTTTCGAAAAAATAAATAGATATATTAAAAGAAATATACATATATATATGGATAGATATATTTTGGTAGATATTTATAAAAATATTGAACAAGAATCCTGCTATATATACTTTTTATTTCGTGGCTAATATATATTTTATTAGAATAGGGTTTGAAATAATTTCTTTAATTTTTTGATAAAGATAATTGATTTTACAAATAAATTGTAATATGAATTATCGAAAAAGGAAGAAATTAAATTTTTCTA